CGGCTGCTAACCGAAAGGTTAGAGGTTCAAACCCACCAGACTCTGTGTGGGAGAAAGATGTGCCAGTCTGCTTCCATAGAGATTACAGTCTTGGAAACCCTATAGGACAGTTCTACTCTGTCCTGTAGAGTCGCTATCAGTCGGAATCGACTTGAAGGCAAAGAGTTTTTGTGTGGAGACTTGTTTGGGGGAGTAGTGTAGGTTGGGCCTATTCAGCCTCTGGGTGGCTGGCTCTCTGATCGGACAACTCTGAGATCTGAGTCTCTGGTTTTAAGGCTCCCTGGCTCAGCTCAGCCTTTCTAACCCTGTCTTAGGTTCCTAGTGCTGCTGTAACAGAAATAACACAAGTGGGTGGCTTTAAAGAACAGAAATTTATTTTTTCACAGTTAGGAGGCTAGAAGCCCAAATTCAGGGCCCCGGCTACAGGGGAAGGCTGTCTCTGTTGGCTCTGGGGGAAGGTCCTTGTCTCTTTCAGCTTCTGTAGACCTGGTATTCCTCAGTTCCTTGGAGATCTTCATGTGACATCTGTCTTCCCCCTGTTTGTGCTTGCTTATTGTTGTGCCAATGCTGCTCATTAGGTTTAGGACACCCTACACTGATATTGCCCCATTAACATAACAAAGAAAACCCTATTCCCAAACAGTATTGCAACCACAGATACAGGCGTTAAGATTCCAGCCCATATTTTTGAAAGCTGCAAATCCGTAACACCTCCTGACTTTCTGTGATGGGACTGTTATCCTCTATCTCCCGTGCATGGATATCATCTATAGCCTGGCCCCCTACGTTGTTTTAAGATTATGGGGGGCGGGGGCAGTGCCCCTGATGACTGAATCTTGGTAGCAGCCTTTTTGTCCATTCAGCCTTCTGGACTACTGGAGATGGTGCATTTCTCTTTCTAATCTTTTTTAAAAAATTTTTTTTCTTAATTTTGTTGTCACAGTTGCAAGGGCAGCATTTAAAAACATGATATGTGCCTCTGCCGTTTGTTGGCACCCAGCCTTCCCAGTGAGTAGCTCATCAGCGTCCTTCCCTCACCACAGGTGACATTTGTATCTCACTTGCTATCCAGCTTCCACAAGCAATCACAGACCTCACTTTGGTAAGCCTCTCAGAACAGAGTCAGGAAATACATGCCTGCATTCACCTTGTTTGTCCCAGAGGACAACAATGGTTGGGCTTGGGTGACGCCCAGATCTTGAAGTAGATTTTAGGAAAACAGGTGCTTCCTTGAAGTTGAAGGATTGTTCTACTTTTGAACCCACTGAGAAGAAATGGACTGGAGCTCAGCAAATTTCTTGTCCACTTGCAAGAACACGACTGCTCCCTGGTTGTTTTTGTTTGTGTGCAGTCAGGCCAGAGAGGCATTCTGTGCCCCCAAAACCTATCAGAACTTTAGTTACTGTTTCATCCCAGAGTCTCCGTGTTTCACTTAGAATGCAGAGATTGGCCAAGCAGTCAGGGTTCTCGCTAGCTAACCTTGCCCTATTATATCAAACTAGTCCAGGGAAATCTCAGCTTCCCTTCCCTGGTCAGTCCAGACCCCAGCTGCTCCACACAGCCCTTTCTCTCTCCTCCCCCCTCAGCTGGGGCTAGGTCAGCAGGGACCTGCCCCTTCTCTCTCATTCCCATCCATCCAGGGCTAGATCAGTTGGTGCCGGCCCCTTCTCTCTTTCTTAGGTCTGAGAATTCATCGAAATGGCTCACAAACTACAGGGAAAGGTGCTATCTTTAATCTGGCAAAAAACAGGATATAAATGCAAAGGGCAAAGAATTTCCATGTCCCCCGGGGACGTGCCCACCCTCCCAAGAGCAGATGCTTACTCTCTCCACCCAGGAAGCTCCACTGAGGTCTTTTATTGGCCTTACCACGTGGCCATGATAGAAGACATCATGCTTCCTGAGGGTTGGGCAGCACCAGGCCCCCAGGTGATCCCTTGTGGTCTGGTCAGCCCTCATTCATTGGCCTCAGGTGTGATCAGGCCCTCAGGAACCAGGACCAAAGGCCAAATTGTTTACTGCAAAGGGGTCCTCCTGTAGCTCGCATTGACCCAGACAGTGACTGTCCTCAGGGCATTTACCCTCTTGGAACTGACCTAGAGCTCATGTCTGTAGGCTCTAAATTTGAGAGCATAGGTGTCTGGAAAGAAAAAATGGACAACACAAATATGAAGCCTAGGCTCAGGTTTAAAAAGCCAGATGGGACACTCATTGCCTGAGGAACTTTTCACTAGCTCAGGGGTCAGCAGACTACAACCTGCAGGCCAAAATAGTTCCATCTCTCGTTTTTGTAAATAAATGTTCGTTGGAATACAGCCACGCCCATTGACTTATACGTCATCCTTGGCTGCTTCTGCACTCCAACAGTAGAGTTGAGTAGTTGCAACAGAGACTGTATGAGCTGCAAAATCTAAAACATCTACTATCGACCCTTCGTAGGAAAAGTTTACCTACCCCTACTGTAGCCCATAACCCCCACAACCATTTGGATTGGATGAGGAGAAAAATAAGAAAAGAAATGGCTTTAGTTCCCTCGTGTTTAACTATGTGCTTTTCTAGGTAGGTCTGCCCAGAGGGCTAGCTGGCATTTACTCAGTTTTTTCTGTTACTTTCTCAAAATATGAGGCAGAAATAATGGAATGTTACAGGAATTTACCTAGCATAATGGCATTTATTTAACCCATCTTGTGGAGATGATTCCAAGCTGATTCTAACATCACATTTTCTGCCTGGCCACTCCTGTAAACACAATTGAGGTTTAACAATAAATAGTTCCCTCTGCTTTATTCCTTCAGTCACTGCAAATAGCCCCTTTAGATATGAACTTAGGTTGAGAAGTACAGCAGGAACCCAGGGCTGGGTTTCCACTTGGTTCATTCATGTTCGAACTGCTGCTGAGAATTTGCATGTCTAACAAGTTCCCGGGTGACGATAATGCTGCTGGTGAGGGACCAATTCTGAGAACCACTAGTAGAGCAGTAGTTCTCAAATTTTTATTATACATAAGAATCACCTGTGGATCTTGTTAACGTGTAGATTCTGGTTCAGCATATCTTGGGTGGAAATGCAAATTCTCAGCAGGAGTTTGAACCGGAACAAACCAGTTCGAAGCCCTGGCCTGGGGGATGCTATTGCTTGAGTCTTCACCTAACTTGAGGTCACACTGACTCCCCCATACACAAGCACAGGCAGCCTCTTCCTCCTCGAACCTGGTGCCTGGAGCTGGTCAGCTCACAGATGTGCCCTGGGCATGATGAGGCTAACCATGTCTAGCCCCTCCCAACCTCCAGGTGCCACCCATTGTGACAGTACAACCCTACAAAGGAAGATATGGCTTTAGCTGGCGTGGAGTATTCTTAATTAACGCACATTATTCTTAGAACCAAGCCCTTTATCCCACCTTTACTGACAAGTACCATCCAGGATCAATTTTTTGTCAAAGGCAAACTCTGCCTTTAAAAACCACCTCTTATTGTGTAGAACAGTGTATATTTTGATATCCTTTGTTGTTGTTAGTTGCCGTCGAGTTGATTCCAACTCATGGTAACCCCGTGGGTGTCAGAACCGTGCTCCATAGGGTTTTCATGGCTGTGAACTTTCCGAAGCAGATCGCCAGTCCCGTCTTCAGAGGCACCTCTGGGTAGGTTCAGACACCAACCTTTTGGCTAGTAGTTGAGCACTTAGCGACTTGTACCACCCGGGGACCTGCTATTGGTTTCCTGGAGCTGCCGTAACAAAAGTACCACAAACCAAGTGGCTTAAAATAACAGAACTTTATTCTCTCACATTTCATGAAGGTTAGAAGTTCAAAATCAAGGTATCACAAGGTTGGTTCCTTCTGGAGGCTCTGAGGGAGAGTCTGTTCCATGCCTCTCCTAGCTTCTGGTGGTTTTCTGTAATCCTTGGCTTGTAATGCATCACTCCAGTCTCTGCTCCAATAACATGTCCATCTTCCCTCTGTGTCTGTGTGCCTCAGTGTCTCTGTTCTTTTTATAAGGACACCAGTTGTATTTGGGCCCACCCTACTCCAGTATGACTTCATATTAATGTAACTACTTACATCTGAAAAGATTCTATTTCCTAACAAGGTCACATTCACAGATACTGGGGGTTAAGACTTCAACATATCTTCTTGAGGGACACAATTGAATCTATAATAAACAGGTTGGGAGATATGGGAAGTAGTAACGTCTTGAGTTCTTGCTGAATTGCTCAAGATAATAAATTATTTACTCCTCATGAGACGAGAGTGGCTGAGGGAACCAGGGGACAGGGCGGTCAGATCAGCTTCTTGGTTTTGATGACCTCAGCAGAGACCATTCCTGGAAAGATGACATCCATAGATCACACAACACATACCCATTTCCGTTTTTCTCCTGGTCACCAGATTAGACTGGCCTGTTACCAGCAGTCATCTAGTGGTGAGAAAGGTACATTCTGGTCACGTGCCTTAAATTTTCTACTGGAGTGGCCAGGATAGCAAAGGAAAGGCTGGACTCCATTGTCATGGTGAAAGTAGGTGGCACAGCAGAGCAATATGGTCCTTCCCCTCTGACCATCTTCGGGGTCTGGGTGATGGCTACGCTTTCCTCGCAAGAGCCTCTCGCCCCTCATTCCTCTCCTTCCACACGGTGTTTGCGCCTCACCCCTGGAAATGCAAAGCCTGGTAAAAGATTTGGGTGAGACATGGTGGACGACCTTCAGAAAACTCCTCATCCGTTGTTCTGAGTCCTCTGCTCTCTGTCACAATTCCACGAGCCTTCGCACAGCTGCTCCAGAAACCTCAATAAAATCTACAGATGTCATTCCAGCCTTTGTTATTTTTTTTTTACTGCAGCATTCATGCTGGACGCGGCTGTTGGAAAGATCTGACCAATTTGAAGACATTGCCAATGTCAGTTTTTAAATGCTAGCACAGGCCGGGAGGGAGTACAGAGAGCTGGAAATAGAATGTGACAATTATTTAATGACTCCTCCCCCCCTTCCCCTTTTTTATGTAGCTCAACGACTCTGCCAAGCAGCTTATTGAGATGGACAAGACGTGCTTAGCGGCTGCATGTGGCTGCGATGCCTCCTCGCCCTCTGACCCCAGCGCGGCGGCCACTCTGGCCCCAAGTTCCACTTTAAGCAGCACAGGAGCGGTCAGTGCCTTTCAGCGGCGTATTGATGGCAAGAAGAATGCCAAGAAACGCCATTCCTTCACTGCGCTCAGTGTGACGCACAAATCCTCCCAGGCCGTGAGCAATAGGCATTCCATGGAAATTAGTGCTCCGGTTCTGATCAGCTCCAGCGATCCCAGGGCTGCCGCCAGAATCGGAGAGCTGGCTCACCTGTCGTCCAGTGCTCCAGCCCAGGTAACAATTGCCTTGCGATGCCCGCCAGGGGTGTGGCGGGGTAGGCGCCCACCCCTTCCTTGGGCCTCAAGTCTCGGCCTTGTGGCTCTGGTCCCCATGGGTTCTTTGGGGGTTCCATGCACGCACATTTCCTGACCTAGCATAAAGGAAACTACAGCAGATCTGCCCTTTCTAATGCCCTTTAAATGTGATTTCCTTCTTGCCAGCTGGCATTAGGGATTTCCCCTACGCCTTGGTAAAAATGTCTCCCTGTTACTGCCCAAAGTAAATACGCAGCCTGGATTCTTAGTGGTAAGGAGTGCCTGAGGGGCATAAGCAGTTAAGCACTTGGCTGCTAACCCAAAGTCTGGTGGTTCAAACCCACCCAGAGGCACCTCGCAAGACAGTTCTGGTGATCTGCTTCTGTAAGTTCACAGCCTTGAAAACTCTATGAAGTGGTTCTACTCCGCACTCATGGGGTCACTGTGAGTCAGAATCGACTCGACGGCAACTGGTTTGGTTTGGTTTTGGTTTTGTCCTTAGTGGTGCAGAAGATAATTTAGGTGGTCTAGGATGTGATTTTCAGTGGTCCACGAACACAGCATTTGAGTAACGTTGAATTACCGTGTGAGAAAGCTGTACTTACTTCTCAGTTTGCATGCAGTCCTGCTGATTGTGACATGGAGAACGTCTCTGTTAGGTGGGAGTATGTTTTCAACACTCTCTGAGACTCGCTAACTTCCCTTTCAACACAGAGTTCAAGGTCCAGAGCTCAGGGCAGGATTAATAACGTCGAGCACTTTTATTAATATTATTTTTACAGATACCTTCTCTTTCTAGGAAGTGATACTTTGTAAATAAATTTAAGTCATCCAAATGAGGCATTTAAAGAACAGTATTGAGTAAATAATTATCTGTAGCTCCGACAAAACCATCACAATCAAAGGACTAAAGTTTGGGAAAGTTTATCTAGCCCAGCTTCTCATTTACAAATGGAGAAACCAGGGCCTCAGAAGTAGGATGGGTTTCCAGAGGACTCCCAGCAAGGAGGTGACATTGTGGCCTCTGATAAGCCCGTTACCAGACCCCCGAGGCAGCGCACTCTTTCATGCACAAGATTGAGAAGCAAGGAGAAATCAGCTCATCTGGGGGTGGTCTCCCCTCCTCCACATCTGACCTCATCCAGGACTGTGGCCAACGTGCACAATGTGGTGATCCCTTTTTCTTTGTCCTGCACGCTCTGTACCTCATTATCCAGGATCTGATTTGTCAGCCTTCCTCCTCGTTTCCTGTAGCATCACCTCTGACCACCCTCCACGCTTCTCAGAACAAGTTTATCTGAGAAACTGCCACTGATTTCTCTGAAGAGAATGGAAGGGCCAAAGTGGGTAAAAACACCAGTAAGTGATAGGCCAGGGATGAACCATCTTTTAAAAAATACAGTGAACTCAAATAACTTTACAAAAAGAATTGCCTTTAAAACACAAACAAACAAAAAGCTAGTCTCCTTTTTATCAGCCATAGAATGCCGCCCGGACACACGCAAGCACGCGCACGCATGCATGCATGCACACACACGCTGGTTCTCAAGGTAGTCTGAGTCCAGGCTCCCTGTCTCACGAGCTGTGCCGCCCTAGGAAAGTTCCTTGAGCACTCTGAGCCTGACTCTCCTAACCTGGCACTGTAGAGTTGCAGTTAAGAGCGTGGCCTCCAGAGGCAGACTGCTGGGGTTCAGAAATTGCCCTTGCCACGAGAAGCCCTGGGAAAGATGCTTAACCTCTTCTCTGGGAGCCCTAGTTGCCTCTGTTAAGTGGCGTGAGGTAGCACCGCCCCCACAGCTTTGCTGTGAGGGTGAAATGAGCTGCCACGTGTCCACTGCTCAGAACAGGGCTGGCCTCTCTTCAGCCAGTGCTTGTTAAATGGTGACTGTGATGGTTTTTCTGCCAATCGGGAGAAATCACCAGTCCCAAGATGCCAGGGCTCGGGCCCCTCGTCTGTTTTTGTCAGTGCTCTCAGCTCTGAGATTCTTTCTCTGGTTGGGCGCTGCGTCGGATGCTGGAGGTTCTGAAAGGCTGATGGTGCATAAAGGGGCTGAAACCGGAGTCCCTGGGTGGCGCAAACGGTTAAGCACTCGGCTACTAGGTTGGCGATTCATATCCACCCACAGGTGATCTTCCTGCAAAAAATCAGTCACTGAAAACCCTGTGGAGCACAGTTCTACTCTGACACACATGGGGTCTCCATGAGTTGGAATCACGGCAACTGGTTTGGCTTCAGGGCTCCACCTCCAGTTACACCTTCTATCACAGAGGCCTGGGTTTGATGAGAAGGAGCGACTCTCTTGAGCTGATGCACCGCCCCCCTCGACTGCCAGCAGCTCCCAGGGCTCTAGGTCAGTGACCATCAGTGCCCAGCTGTCTGTGGTCCCACAAGTCCCCAGCCTTGCTAGTCCCCCATCAGAGGCATTTGAGGATCTCGTCTATCGTCTACAGCAGTGGTTCCCAACCTTGACCGCACTTCCTTATCATCCGGAGAATGGAACAAAGTATTATACCCAGGTCCTCCCGGTATAGCCCTGGCCTGCAATTCTAATGTAATCAGCCTGGGGTGTGGCCTAGCCATAGGGATTTTAAAGCTCCCCCAGGGGCTTCTAATGTGCGGCCGCGGTTGAGAACCACTGGGCCAGCTCAGAAACTAGCAGCCCTTCTTTCACGTTCCAGGCTTTGCCACAGCGCAGGCTTGAGCCCAAGCCCCGAGTCACACAGAGGGTGACCAGCTCTCTTGGGGTGCCTAGGCCTGATGGGTTTTCCCAGGGCACAGGACTTTTAATGCTAAAACTGGGACAGTTGATCACCCTAGTTTTCTTCTCATCCACTAGGCTCCAAAGGAAGATATGCGGAGGCTTTTGAAAAAAAATGTCTTGCAGGTCCTCTTTGTGCCAGGCCCTGTGCTGGGTGCCAGAGAAGTGAAGACATTCAGGCCTGGTCCCGTTCCTGAGAGACCCAGAGCCTGGTGGGAGAGATGTAAACAAACAGCCATTCAGCATTTTTTAGGCTGGAGCTATCAGTCCTGGCTGCTAGTGTCGTCTGGGGAAGCCTCTACAACATTCCAATCCCAAGGCCCATCCCAGATCAGTGAAACCAGAATCTTGGTGTGGAGAGAGGGAGTGAGCATGATGTATTAGCCTGGCTTCGCTGCAGCAGTGCTGTGTAACAAACAGCCTCAGTGTGCACAGAACCAGCAATTATAGTCCTCACTCGGGGACTCTGGGCTAGCTGGGCTGCGCTCCAGGTTCCGGGCAGGTTCAGGTCTGCTCCATATACCTCATTTAGGGCCCAGGCGAAGGGGCAGTGGCTCCCTGAGGTATGCGCTTCTTGTGTTGGGGGTGTGGCAGGCCGCCACCTGTGCCCCCTTTCCATTGATGAAAGCAAGTGACATGGAAAAGCCCAGTATCAATGAGAAGAGAAACATACTTCTCTTGTGGAGGTGGGGGGAGGAGGAAATATTTGCTGGAAAATCACCTGATGAACCCACTGGAGTTTTTGATAGCACCCCAGCTGATCCTACTACAGTAGGATGCAGAACCCCTGCTTTAGACCGGGGATTAGCAAACTATGGCGGGAGGTAGGGAGTGTGGAAGGGGTAGGGGGGAGGCTGCTTTTGTACAACTCTTGTGCTAGGAGTAATTTTCACATTTTTAAAGGGTTGTATAAAAAGTAAAAAAAAAAAAAAAAAAAGGAAGAAGAAGAAGCAAAAGAGACCATACATAGCTCTCAAGCCTAAAATATTTACTCTCTGGCTCTTGACAGAAGAAGTTTTCTGACTTGTGCTTTAGATTAAAGCTTTGTTGATGCTGACACTGAAAAGGAAGAAAAAGAGTAAAAAAAAAAGGAGGAAAAATAGTAATTATATAAAGGTCAGCTAGGGCCTCAGTTTGGGAGAGGAAACAAGGAAAACAGAAGGGGAGAAAAAAACCCAACAACATTGCCATCAAGTTGATTCCGACTCATAGCGAACGTCTAGGACACAGTAGAACCGCCCCACAGGGTTTCCAAGGAGGTGGATTTGAACTGCCAGCCTTTTGGTTAGCAGCCAAATGCTTAACCACTGCGCTACCAGGGAGGAGGTAGTCTTAAACCACAAAAGGGGAGGATACTCTGACTTTCACGCCTGAAATTTAAAGACACTAATTTCATGTCCTTCCTGAGCCGAGCATCTTGGATGTGTGTGGTGGTGGGGAGGACAGAAAATTTGAGGAGATTCTGGAGTTAGCACTCTCTTTCTCCTTTGGAGTATCCCGTGGAACAGCAGCCTGGGTCTCGTGGAGGTTCTTGTGCATCAAATAACCATATCAGAAAATTGTTCTAAACACAGAATTTCAGTGATTTGTTCTAGAGAGACAGGCATAGGAAAGAAGGTGTTGTAGCAGGGAACTCCATCCTTGGGTGGTACAGTTAATGCGCTCGGATACTAACCAAAAGGTTAGAGGTTCAGGTCCACCCAGAGGCACCTCAGAAGAAAGATGGGGGTCTACTTATGAAAGAGCACCAAAACCAAACCAAACCCACTGCCTTCGAGTCGATTCCGACTCATAGCGACCCTATAAGACAGAGTAGAACTGCCCCATAGGGTTTCCAAGACTGTAAATCTTTACAAAAGCAGATTGTCACATCTTTCTCCCGTGGAGTGGTCAGAACCGCTGACCTTTTGGTTAGCAGCCAAGCGATTAACCGCTGCACCACCAGGGCTCCTTTGAAAGATCACAGTCATTGAAAATCCTATGGAGCACAGTTGTACTCTGACACACAAGAGGTTGCCATGATTTGGAATCGATTTGACAGGAATTGAGCTTGTGTGTGTGTGTGTGTGTGTGTGTGTGTGTAAAGCAGGGAACTAGCAGGAAGGTTTGCTGATGCGGAGAGTGGGGGCGACCAGCTCAGTCAAGGTGCAGGAGGAATTGTCTCTGCCTGGGGTGCCCCTGCTCCTCTCTGGCAGCACCATGGGGACCGCAAGGAGGCTGT